AAATGACACAGTAGCTCTAAAAACTGGTACCATGAACAGTGAAAAACAACATTACACAACTAGGTGAGAATCATTTTCGATTAAATGGCACATTTTATGGTGAAAAGCACTGCGCACAAGCTATCCTGAGAGTAATGATGGCTGGAGAATCGAAACTTGCGCCCGGTAAAGTCTCTCATTTTAGACTAGCGGAAGTAGAGAGGTTGAAACAATAACATTTTAACCTTGACTGTACTATAGTTAGGTCAATTAAAAAGAGGCATCATCCCTTGCGCGAGTTAACGACGAGCGAGTCTGAATCTCAACCTCTGAAGTCGCTCGAATGTTCAAAGTAAGCTACAGCCTCAAAACTCATAAATGTCAGCTCTGATACCATGAATCAACTGGGATGACCGAACCAAAAGTAATGGCAGATATATCTGATGCATCCGTTTGTCATATGGAAACCCAATCATGGAAACTGCTATCCTTCAAGCAGACTTGTAGTCTCTTCGAAATATTTCATACCTGCAACGAGCTGTGAAAAGTGCCTAGAATTATACCAATTTCTTTGCTATCTCGTGGAATTATAACTTTAACCAATGATGCATAGTCATCACACGTTTATAAAGTTGCAACAGTTTTTCCTTGATCCAGCTATTTTTAAGATTAAAATTTTAACTGAACAAAAGGACCGAAAAAATTTAGAAAATCTCTCAAAGCTGTTGCTTTCAGAACTGAAATAAAAGTCGACAATGGAACACCGTGAATCTAGAGATAATCAAACTTGCCCCTTCAAGATAAACTTTCCTTGCTCCATCGACGTTGTGCAGCTGTTCTTGAATTTGTCCAGCCATCATCCACAACTAAATTTTATAACGTATTAACAAAAGCCTAGTAAAAACCGGTCATTCGTTCGATTCAAATACCTTCGGCGCGTCCGGGTATAATTCCAAACCACGAGACAGCAGCTCCTGGGCAGCGTCTAACTCGTTCAGACACCATTCCAGTCTTGCCGACTTCATCCAAATCTACAGTGATAA